GAAGTCAGCCTCATAATATGGGCTTAGCTTCTTGAAACAATGCCAGTGACCATGATTGTAATAAGTTTTCCTCTACAGGCTAAACTTTTCAGTGCAGCCGAGTCAAGCATTCAAAAGGCACAATATTTAATCTTCTACATGCTTATTTGTTGTTGGACTTTATACATAGGTGGGGTCAAAGTGGTGAGTTTCTCACTTTTACAATTCGGGGGAGCTGCATGTATGGATGCGGGTACAGAGGTATGGTCAGTTTACCTGCAGTGGCCAAAGGAAGTACCGGAAATATCCTTTGGCCCCATCCTTTGAGAACATCTTCTTGTTGCCCCCTGTGGTCAGCGAGAGGAGTGCCAGCTTGCCCTGCAGAGAAGAGAGAGGACACTGTTAGTGGATTGAAGGACAGGCATGGAACTTCTGGTCAAAGGGCTATGATGACCAGGAGGGAGCAGCCATGGTCAGTTTCTTCCAGGGACAAACATAGATGTAACATCCTGTCTCTGGCAGGCTGGTCATAGAGGACAACTACATGCCAACACGAGGCACTCTAATGACCCCACTGGGCAGTGGGCTGAGTGAACATGCATGTGCTTGGGCTTCTGGCAAGTACCAGGTTTGGTCCAGCCAAGGCACCAACCCCAAGGGATTGAATGGAGTCTGGTCCTTGGGGGCCCCAACTCTAGTCCAAGATGGACTTGGGGTATTCAGTGCTTCCTGATATGCACTCATCTTCTGAAGCCCTTTGAATGTGAAACAGTCATTTTGGTAAGAACTTATTTCAGTAATAAACCCATATCTCCCAGTCAGTAAGCAACTACAAGGGATCCTCCAGTCCTCACCCTACAGGACAGAAATCCCACTATCTTTGTTCCACCAAGTCTAAGCCCAGTGGCCTGGGTTTGGCTCTTCATCACAGGGTACCACGCACCCTCTTGGGTCAAGCCTTTTTCCCTCACTGCCTGTGAGGCCCACTCTCCCGGCCTCAACCCCCAGCTCCTCTTCAGGTGCCTGGTTAGTGTGGGCATGTCTATGTCCCCCATTAGAGGGAAGGTTTCCTATTTTTAGAAACCATGTGCTCCCCATCAGAGCCTGGTATGTCAGACAGCAATCAGGAAATGTAACAAAACTTCAAGACATGTACCTTGAGTCTCCTAGCAGACACGCATCTGCACAGACAAAAAACTCTCACCACAAGCTCATCCACACTCGGACCCATACCACATGCTGTCTCTCACACAGGGATGTTCATCACATACATACACACATGAGCATGCGCACCCCACAGAAGCCCTGGTCCCACATCACATACCTTGAGGTAACCATCGTTATAATATTCAGGAAGGTCAAAGGCGAACCCTCGGCACAGCACCCGGTCCATCCAGCCCTTCAGGATGGCTGGCACGCTGAGCCAGTACAGTGGGAACTGAGGCAGAACACAGGGAGAGGTAAATGTATATGACTGTTTGGTGATCTCCTCCTTTATCCCACCTGAGGGTTCAGAACAAGTCTCACCACCCTGCTCTTGTCCTTGGCAGTGTTGCCATCGCAGGGCAGGTGGGCACAATCCTGCAGAAATGCATGAGTGGGGGTATTTCTTCCTTTTGTTCTGATGCTCGGTGTGGGTGTAGTGGGGGGGGCAGAGGTGGGTGGAAAGGTTCTGCGTGCCCTGACGTTGGTCCCTGGTAGGCGGGGAGATGGGGGGGAGGTGGATGTAAAGGGTCCTGTGTGCCCTGACATTGGTCCCTGGTGGGCAGGGAGGTGGGGGGAGCGGGGCACTGAGGGGTAGAAAGGTGCTGCATGCCCTGACATTGGTTCCTGGTGACATTGGTCCCAGGGAGGTGGTGGGAGGCTCTGCTAGAC